TTAAAGTATAATAATAAAAAAAAAAAAGTAATTGCGGTTTTGGACCATGAATTTTAAGTGATTATAACTAGGCTCAAACACATTTTTATTAATCAAAATAGAACCATTACAATCAGCACCTTTTTGCCAATAGGAAATAAGTTCGTTTATTCCTGTAGTGTAAGAAGCTGTGCTTCGGGATTCGCTGAACTCTTAAAAAGCATTTTCTGCATCCTGCTGGTTGTAGAAGTGTTTTCCCTGCAAAAAGTTGTTGAGATGCTTGAAGAAGTGGTAGCTGGTTTGGCCACAGGTCAGATGAATATGGCGGATGAGGCAAAATTTCATAGACCAATTTGTTCAACTTTTGAAGGGTTGGTTGTGCGACAAGTAGTCAGGCATTGTTGTTGTTGTGGAGAAGAACTGGGTCCTTTCTGTTGACCACTGTCAGCTGCAGGTGTTGCACTTTTCAGTGCCTCATTGATTTGCTAAGCATACTTCTCAGATGTGATGGTTTCACCAGGATTCAGAAAGCCACAATGGATCAGACGGGCCGCAGACCACCAAACGGTGACCATGACTTGTTTTGGTGCTCTGGGAAGTGCTGTGGAGCTTCTTCTGGGCCCAACCATTGAGCTGGATGTTGCCAGCTTTGTATAAAATCTACTTTTCATAGCACGTCTCAATCCAAGTGGAGAAATGTTTCATTGTTGTGTAGAACAAGAGAAGACAACACTTCAAAATGATAATTTTTTGATTTTCAGTTGGCTCATGAGGCACCCGCTTATCGAGCTTTTTCACCTTTCCAATTTGCTTCAAATGCCAAGTGGCCATAGAATGGTCAACATTGAGTTCTTCGGCAACTTCTCCTGTAGCTAGGAGAGGATCAGCTTCAATGATTGCTCTCAATTGGTCATTGTCAACTTCCGATGGCCAGACACTACGCTCATGATCTTCAAGACTCTCATTTCCTTTGCAAAACTTTCTTTCTTTCTTTTAAAATTGAGACAGAGTCTTGTTCTGTCACTGGAGTACAGTGGCATGATCTCTGCTCACTGCAACCTCTGCCTCCCAGGTTCAAGCGATTCTCCCACCTCAGCCTCCTGAGTAGCTGGGATTACAGGTATGTGCCACCATGCCCAACTAATTTTTGTATTTTTAGTAGAGAAGGGGTTTCATCATGTTGGCCTGGCTGGTCTCAAACTCCTGACCTCAAGTGATATGGATGCCTTGGCCTCCCAAAGTGCTGGGATTGCAGGTGTGAGCTGCCACACCTGGCCATCCTTTGCAAAACTTCTTGAACCACCACTGCACTGTATGTTCGCTAGCAGTTCCTGGGCCAAATGCATTCTTGATGTTGCAAGTTGTCTCTGCTGCTTTACAGCCCATTTTGAACTCGAATAAGAAAACTGCTTGCATTTGTTTTTTTGTCTAACATAATTTCCATAGTCTAAAATAAACATAAACAGCAAGAAATAAGTTAGCAAAAAAAAAGTGAGAAATGCCCATTAAACTGATGTATAACATAACCACATTTATTCAAGCATGTATTCCAACACGAAATGGCAAATTCCAACAATGCAAAAACCATAATTACTTTTGCACTCACCTAATAGTAGCTGTTTTTTGTTCCTTGCCCCTCTGGGTGGAGGTGGGATGGGTTTCCTTCTTGCTATGCAGTTACTCAGTGCTATTGCTAAACCACCTCCTCCCTTTTTCTTAACCTCACCTACAACTTTGAATCTCATGTCACCAGACTATACCATGCTTGGGTTTCCAAGTTATACTTATCCACCAACCTCCAAGCCTTTTCAAGATTGTTGCTTCTGGCTCTCTCCAACATCATTCTTGTTATATTTTTTGGTGATTTCGGTATCCTCATGGATCATCCAATCAATGCTCTGGTGCTCGGTTTCTATCCCTTCTCCAGTGATCTTGTTCTTTAACCTACCTTAGCTTTCCCTTGTTTGGTCATACCATAGACTTTGACAGCACCAATAAGCACAGCCTCTCCATACACTCAGCTCCAAGCATCCTACTCTCAGACCACAAGCATCCTACTCTCAGACCACCACCTCTTATCTTAGCACATTCTTTTGAGTATCCTGTTCTAACAAACCTTAGACCACCACAGGGACCTACAACTTCTTGACTCTACCAACTTTTCACTGTCCCTTACCTTCTACTTCTCATTGTATAACAAATGACCCTCAAATTTAGCATCTTAATACAACAAACATTATCTCACAAAGTTTCTGGTTGGGCAGTCTGGCTCAGGGTCTCTTATGAGGTTGCAGTCAATTGTTGGCTGAGAGCACAGTCTCTGAAGACTTGATTAGGGCTGGAGGGTCTACTTCCAAGTTCATTCACAGGGCTGCTGTCAGAATGTTTCAGTTTCTTGCCATGTGATCCTCTTTATAGAACTGCTAATTATTTACATGACTTCTCTCAGAGCAAGAGATCTGACAGAGAGGGAGGGAGGGAGGAAAGGAGAGAGGGAGAGCAAGCAAGTGCATGTGAGCATGTCTCTTATAACCTAACCTCTGTAGTAATACACCACGCCTTCTGCCATATTCTGTTGGTCATGCAGACCAACCTAGGTACAATGTGGGAGGGGACTACACAAAGGTGGGGATCATTAGGGGCCATCTTGGAGGTTGGCTACAATACTATTTTACAGAGAAAACAGAGTAATCAGAAGAGAATTTCCATAAGCTCCTACCACCACATTACCTAATTATCCGTTTCCTGGGTATTCTAACTTTTCTGCTATTATTATAATTAACCATACCTCCTGCTATCTAAGGCCAATCCCTCCACTTGTTCACTAGGTTCCATTTCCTCTATGAGGTTTGTACAAAGACAAATCACCTAACATTTCTCAAAATGTATCCCCATCTTTAAGTGACACATGACTGTAGATCCCCAAATTCTCTCCTATCTCTCCTGCATCATTAGTTTTCTCCTGTCTACTGGTTAATTTCCATCAATAAAAAATATATGCTATGATCTTAAATAACTCTCCAATGATCCTACCTCTACGTTCAGCCACCTCTTTCGCTGTGTCCCTTCACAACAAAACTCATGGAAAGAATTGTCTAAAATTGCTGTCTCCAATTCCTTCTCCTACTCTTTCTTGCCTAGCCCATCAGGCTTTTGCTCTCCAACTGCTCTAAAGACACTGCTCTTTTAAAAGTTATCAATGACTTCCACATGGTCAAATCCAATAGTCAATTTTCAGTCCTTACCTTATTTGATCTGTCAGCAGGATTTAACACAGATGGTCTGCCCTCAATGGAACATTTCTTTTTCACCTGGCTTTCAAGGTATCACACCCTTGTGGTTTTCTTCCTTGGTTTACTGATTAATCCTTCTCAATCTCTTAGCATTCTCCTCCTCTTTTTCTCAGCCTCTGTAATACTGAAATACCCTGGGGCTGTTTTAGGATTTATTCTTTCATCTGTCTCTATTCAACCCCTTGATGAGTCCATCCAGTCTCATGGCTTTCAATCTACAGGCTAACAACTCTTAAATTTGTACTTGCAGCCCACCACTCTTCTCTCAGCTCCCGACACTTTTTCTCATACTATCTTCTTGGATGTTGATTAGATAAATAAAACTTAATCTGCCCCAAACTGAACTCGTGATCCTCCCCTTTCCAAATCTACTCCTTCCACCATCTTCACTATTTCAGTAAATAGTAATTTCATCCTGACAGCTGCTCGGGATGAAGCCCCTAGTTTTCCTTGACATCTCTCCCTCACACAATCCATATCCAAACCTTCACAGACCCTGAAAGTTTTGCCTCCCAAATACCTACAGAATTCAACCACTTATCATCATCTCCACCACCTCCTTGATCCAAGACATTATAATCCCTTATCTGAATTATTGCAATAGCCACCTAATTGGTCTTTACAGTCTATTCTCACTACAGCATTCGGAATTTTTTTTTTTTTTTTAATTTTAAGTCACATTATGGTGTTCCTTTGCTCCAAACCTTGCTCCAGTGGCTCCCCATCTCAACACCTATGGTGGCTGACGATATTCGATTGGATTGCCTGCTTGACCTACTGTCTCAGCATTCTTCCCCTTTCCCTCTGCTCCAGTCACACTATCCTCCTGACTTTTTCTCAACGAGCCAATGCTCCCACCTTGGGGCGTTTGTACTTGCTGTTGTATCTGGAACGTGTTTATAAAGCCTCCGTTGAAGAGCACAGTGGCCTCTTCTATTATCTCATTTAAGTCTTTGCTGAAAAGTATCGCAGTGCAGCTTTCTCTGGACATTCTAATATTTCATCCTTCCCATTCCCACCCTGCCCGCCACACTCCCTCTCCGCGTTCTTTGCTTTTACTCCACATCACAGACATTTACTTACTCATTGTTTATTCGTTTATTTCCCCTCACTCTATTGTGAATTCCCTGAGCAGGGATATTTGTTTCGTTCATAGCTACGTATCTCCGGTGCTTGGAACAGCACTGGTATATAAAAAGCTCGTAGTAATGTATGTTAACTGAATGAATAAATTACCCTACAGAGATAGTCGAGTGTCTCTGGATTACAGCAGAGCTTGCAGCAGAGAGGGAGACCACTCAAGAGGCCGTGATGTCCAAATACAATAACACGTACGAAACAGCGTTGTAAAATGAGCTGCACAGAGGATGCGAAAAATTTGTTAGCTTAATTTGTCTCCCCAGGAAGCCGTGCCAGGCTCGCCTCCCTCTTTCATTCTTTTCCCGTGGTTCCCTCTACTGGGACCCCTGGCCCGCCCAGTCTGCCAGATCACAGGCCCAACGCATCCCTTTCCGGAGGGATTTAGGAGGTCTCGGCGGTGGTCCAGCAACTACATTCCCACCACGCCTCAGATGGCGCATTACCTAGCTACCGCGCATACCCAGACGTTCCCGCCCCCTCAGCCGGGCAGGAAGAGGAAGTGGAGATACCACGGACGCTCAAAACCCCACCTCTCACGCCTTCCCAGCTCCGGGAGGGGACGCGGAGTCCGGAAGGGGCGGGCATAAGGCTACGGAGGGGCGGGACGGAGCAGCCCGCCCCAAAGTGGCGGTTTACTTGAGGCGGTTACCTTAGTACACCGAGTAGACTGAGTCTGTGGCGAATTGCGGGCCGATTCCCGGCCAGTGCCATCTCAGCCGGAGTGGACCTCGGGGCCTCAGAAGCAGACTTTTATCTGGCCCGAGGCTCCCAGCCGTTCAGCGCGTCTTCCCATAACCGGATACCGATTATTGGGACTCTCAGCTGCAGACACAGGTCCCCGCCCCTCCCTCTTTCTCCGGTCTGCTGCTGTCATTCCTCCCTTCCCGCCTCGCTGCGCCCACAGCGGGGCACAGTCATCGTTCTGTCATTCCCATCCTTTCTCTTCCCTCTCATCGCCATTTCTTCTAGAAGGCAACTTAAAAACCTTTCCTTGCCTCTTTATGCTCATTTCTCTTCCCTTCTTTTCTTCCTTTTTCTCTAGAATACTTGTGTTTCCACTCCGTTCCAGGCTTCTGCCTCCAGGGCCTGTGGCTCATGTGTTAGGAGGTTGAACTTTTAATGCAGTCGTTTGAAGATTTTAAGCTTTTTCTTTCTCCTAACCAGGAGTCACAGATGCTGGGAAGTATGGCCCCAAAGAAACCTCGAAATACCACAAGGTTGCCCCTGGCTTTAAACCCCCTGAAGAGCAAGGACGTGTTGGCAGTGCTGGCTGAGAGGAACCAGGCTATAGTACCAGTTGGGGCATGGGTGGAACCTGCCTCACCAGGTAGCTCGGAAATCCCAGCATATGTGAGTGTCAGTTTGATCCAAATATGGTGGGGTTCCCCACCACCGTTTTTATTAGTCTTCTCTAATCCTGGGTGCTTAAAGATGAACAGTCCGAGGATGCTGTTTCTATTCTGCCATAAATAGTTTATGTTCTTGCATCAGGATTATAGAACAAACAAGTATTTGCCAAAACTTGACTGCAGCTTTAGTTGGCATAATCAAATGCTTATTACTCACCTACTATAATATATAGAACATAATCTACATGGAACAGGTTATATAGATATATATCTGTATATCAGTTTACGTCAGACTCTTGATTGCTTGCTCTGCCCAAGACATAGGCACTATCTACATCTTCCAGACACTGCAACTTAGTATGGATGATAGTTGGCATACTTTAAGTAACATTAATTGGTTGCTTAAGGTTTATGATAAATTTTCTAATGAGGATTCAGGCAAAATGGAGTAATAGAATAAAGGAGAAAGAGATGAACTTTGGTAATCTGAAAAAGTCTAACTAGAAATTCCACGGTTTCTGATGGTCTTTCACCAGACTGTGCCCCATAGCTATTTGTTCAAATTTAACTTGGCACTTACCACATTGTGTTATAGTAGATTGTTTATATATCTTTTCCTTATGCAGTGTGAGCTCCTTGAGCATAGAGAACAAATCTCATTTATCATCACATTCCCACTTTTATCTTAAATACTGCCTAATATAGACACTCATGAAATATTTATGAAAGGCACAAAATGTCATCTGTATGTGTAGACAAGGTGCTGAACATGGATGAAAAAAGGATAAGGTATGTTCCCTCAGTGTACTTGATCTCAGAGGAGAAATGAGACATGTTTAAATGTTAAAGCAATGCAATATACTATATTCATTCATTTTATTTATGTTTGCACATATGTATATATATTCATTGATTTATTTCTACCCTGCCTATTTCCAAAAAGGATTTTAAGAGTCTAGGTGGTATATCTATACAAGTTCTAAGAATATAATGCTTAATCAAGAAGCTATGACATTGGGTTGATGTGACCCAGGAAAGTGTAATGAATAATTTGATCGGAGAAGGGAAGGGAAAGATTCTCCTATTAAGGAGAATGAGGAGAGTAAAAAGTAAGCAAGGTTGAGGATTCTAAGGGTAGATTAGATCGATTGGAGTGGAAAGTTTAGTAGGAGAATGGTCATTGACAGGATTATGGAAAATAGGGATGGTGGAGTACCATAGGAAATTTTGGAGAAGGAATTGACTTTTTAAAATATTTACAGGTGAATGTCATGATCAACCAGTGTTTTGATTAGATTAATTGCTTCAAAGGTTTTGAAGGATAGGGAGTGATTGGATCCTGGGGATAAATTAGAATATAATTATAACAATTTACGCATGGAGTATAGCATCAAAACTTTGTTAGGGGTAAGAAATAGAGAAGAAAAGCCTTGAAAAAGGATGGTTGAAGTGCTTGAGCCACGAGTTTTAGGCTGCAGTGAGCTATGATCATGCTACTGCACTCTAGCCTGGGAAACAGAATGAGACCCCATCTCTGGAAAAAAAAAAAGTGGAATGAGAAGGGATGAATGCAAGAAACACCCCACAAGTCTCGATAAGATTTGGTATAAAGATATTTTGGTATTTAAGTTGTTGACAACTTTTTAATTGCTCAAGTTATATCTGTATAATATCAGTAGTGTATCAAACTTTTTCTATGTTAAGAAGTATTGAATATCGTATTCACACACATTAACTCAAAATATTAAAGTCTTGGAACATGGATAAACACATCTCCTTATCTCCTTTTCCTGATTTAAAAATTTCTGATCAGTTCCAGCCAAAGGGAGTTTGATCAAGCATCTGATAGAACTCCTTATAGCTTTAGCATATCTAGTGTGGGTATCCACCCTTATTAATGGATATAGCTCTCTCAGCTCAAAATAAATGCTGAATAGTTACTTCTAAAGCTTGGCCCTTAGATCATGTCTGTTCTAAAGGGGAACTTCTACTCATTTTTCTCCCCAAAATTTCAGGAGGCCATCAGGATTCCTAAAAATGTCATAGCTTTAGACTACCTCCCCCCAATAATTATTAATAAATTAGCATCAAAAGACACTGCTGTTCTATCATCATATATGGGATTGCATTGTTTTATAATTTGTTCTGGTTAGCTTTTGCTGTGTAACCAGCCACCCCAGAACTTAGTGGTATAAAGCAAATAATACTATGTATCAGGAATTTGAGCAGGGTACAGTAGTAATGGCTTGTCTCTGCTCCATAGTGTCTGGGGCCTTAGCTGGGGCTCAAATAACTGGACATGTCTGAGTCACCTTGACTATTTTCTAGCTATTGGTTGGAGCTAGAAAATAATCAAGCTGTCCCAGTCATGTGGCATCTGCTGGGCTGTAATGTCCAAGATGGCTTTCTTATTCATATAGCTGACACTTGGGCTAGGATAACTAGAATGTCTGGGTGCTGGCTAGATACATTTCTCTTTTCGCATGGGCTTCTCTATTTGACTAACTTGGGCTTCCTCACAGCATGGTAATCTCAGGGTAGTATGAATTTTTATATGGTGCTGACTTCCTTCAGAATGAGCACTCTAAGAACCCAGGTGGAAGTTTCTTTATGACCTGACTTGTAATCTTGTGGAGTAAAAGAGGAGCAGAGAAAATGGAGGTAAAAGAAAGAGGCTGAATGGCTTAAACTTGTCTGGGCCTTGAGTTAAGCTGAGTCAGTTGTTCAGGCTTCATTATGTATATATCTCTCCACTGGAATTTTTCTACCTAATTGTTCTTTGACAGTTGTACACTCTGCTAGAATAGTTTACGGGATAGACACCTTGGAAATTTTAACTTAAATTGAAATTTGAATGCATTTGATTTTGAGAATTTAATGACAGCCTGTAAAATGATCAGAGGCACCCTTCAGAGTTAGAAGTCAGAATCACTGAGTTAGAAGGAATAGGTAGGAGATATGATGATGATTTTATTTAATTTGAAAATTCCTAGTGAAAGAGAGACATATGCAGTCTAGAGTAAAGCAGTGTAGAGAGGAACATAATTGTTGGAGTCAGAAACTTCTAGTTCTGCTACTAGTTAGCTATATTAAAATTACTTTATCTTCCTGAACCCCAGTTTCCTCATCTGTAACATAAGGGATAAGAATACCTACTACCAAAGGTGGTTTTGAGAATAGAGTGCTACAATGTAGTTAAAATACTTGTCACGTAATAGATCCATAATAATGATAAGTGCTGTTATGATGATGACTATGATGATTATTATTCAAAGCACTTAGAGGAGATAAATGCAGATCAAGAACTCAAGTGGGATAAAGTGTTCCAGATTATTTAGAACAAGCTTGTCCAACATGCGGCCATGGGCCACATGTGGCCCAGGATGGCTTTGAATACGACCCAACGTAAATTAATAAATTTTCTTAAAACACTATGCATTTTTTTGTGATTTTTAAAGTTTATTTGTATGTTTTAGTTCATCAGCTACTGTTAGTGTTAATGTATTTTGTGTGACAGTTCTTCGAACATGGCCCAGGGAAGCCAAAAGATTGGACACCCCTGGTTTAGAATATGTTTTGGAATTCAGCAATTATATAAATATATATTGATTACCCTTATAGTCAAGGCTCTCTACTACATGCCGTAGGGGAAATAAAGGAGAATTGAATACATATCCTGTCCTCAAAGAGTTCATAATCTAGTAGGGAAGTCAAGAAGTACTATACTCAGTTAACATTGGTGAAATGAGAAGTGTTATAGCATCAGAGGGTTTAGAGGAAGAAAGTATTGTGGAAGGTACTGGGGAGTGGGTATTAAATGGTTGTGAAAACTGAGTAAGCCTTTACTAGGTGGAGATGAAAGGAAGGGCATGCTAGGTTAAAAATGGAGCATAATGCCGAATATGAAGACATTTTACAACATGACATACTTGCTGAGTGGTAAGTAACCTGGTGTGTCTTGACTATTTACTCCATTTTAGAAAGTGTGTAACATATGGTAGGTTTTATTTGGTTCATTAAGATTTAATGAGACATCATTAGTTCCAGTTCAATAAAAAATTTAAGATTTGATTTGAGTACTCATACATTCCAATTTTTTTTGTACAGAATGGAATTACTTTTTTTCAGGATTGTATCCTTATCCTGACTGTTCTGTGTTTAAAACAGCCCTAATGGACAAAACTGCTGACATTTAAGTTCATTTTCTATCTTTCGTCTTTAAAGACATCAGCATATTTGATTGAAAAAGAACTAAAGGAACAGCTAAGAAGAAAACAAGAAGCTTTGAAACATTTTCAGAAGCAAGTTAAATACCGAGTAAATCAACAAATTAGGTTGAGAAAAAAGCAGCAGCTTCAGAAGTCTCATGAAAGAGTAAGTTCAAAAGTGAGCCTGAGTAAAGACTGAATGGAAAATATGTATGTTATGAGATAAGCTATTAGGCAGTAACAGAATTACTTTCCTTTGATTACATGCCTAATATAATCTGATGAACTAGTGAGGACAATAGACTTTTTTTGTAGAGAAATAATGTTTTATTCCTGTGTTCTGACTCCATTTTTTACTTTTACCAAGTAGTTAAAAGCAATGTCAGAAGTTTGGGTTCAGACTTGAGTTTGAATTCTGGCTTTGCCACTTAATAGCTATTGACTTTCGGGTAATTACTTTACTTCACTGATTGTAGTTTCTTCATCCATAAAATAAGGATATGATACTTCTCTCATAGGACTGCGTGAGAGTTAGATGAGATAACCTAAATTATTAGCACATGGGAGGTGCCTGGTAAATGTTCATTCCTCTGCCAGCTAAAGCCTCTCCCCTACCCCCCACCCCAATTTAAAATCTCTTGAACTGCTTTAGAGGCATTATTTGATTGCCCTGGATTGGGGTAGAATGTTACTCTCCCCCTTTCTTCCTTTGTGTAGGCAGAAAAAGAAGGCTCTGTAGCCATGCAGTCTTCAGCAGCACGCTTAACTTCCAAAAGGACAAGTGTTTTTCCAAACAATTTGAATGCTGCTATTGGAAGTTCTAGGTTACCTCCTTCCCTGATGCCTGGGGATGGAATAGAGGATGAAGAGAATCAGAACGAATTATTCCAACAAGCCCAGGCTGTAAGTACCTGTTCATTTTATTTTATGTCTATGATATTTTCCCCATCCCCTAAACTATAAATACGACATCTGGGGTATGAGGTAGGGATTAAGAGTTAGCACACTCAGCTTCACTTTTTATAATCACCTCTTATTTTTTTTAGCTTTGTAAAGTGGGGAATAGTGGGATAATGCTTTTTAAAAATTTTAAATATACATCTATTTGTGTTTGGTAAGACACTCTAAAATTATCTAAAGAAAGGTGCCAAAGTGTTAGAATTCAAAACTTATTAGAAAGCACTTTAGGTCAAGAACATGGATTTTCCCAGTTATATTGAAATTACATTCTAGGTAAGCTACTATTTGTAGTATACAGAGAGAAATAATTCTTAGCTTTGTTGCAAAGAAATTCAGTACACATAGGTGGCATTTCATTTATTATTTCTTTTTGTCTCATTTTTCTTATTGTTTTTTAATCTGATTATCACAATAAATGAATCTATAGTTGTAGGTTAAAGAATAATATAGTAAATTCTTAACATATCCAGAGTTTTTGGAAAAATGTAATTTTTATTTAATGACTCATTTGATATACCCAATATTTAAAAATTAACCACTGTGAGTAGATTCATCCATTCAAATTGCTTGACTCTGTCCATTTAGCCCCCACTTTAGTATACCTGAGCTTTTGTCCAGTTGATACAGTCTTCAACTCTGCTTCAGTAATTGTTCTTCATCTTATTTAAGATGTATTCCTAGAAATAATGAGAGGAAGAGAGAAAATGTGGAAAATTATGAGTATGTGAAAATAAAAGCTGTGTTACTGCTTAACATATTTTGTCATAATTTAATTGCGCTATTAATATAAATAGGAAAAGCTTTAGAAGCACACATTATCATGTTGAAATACTGTTAACATTTTTTTCTTTGTCCACAACTATTTGACTCTTTCTTGTCATTGTTCAGTTTGTAATAATCATTTTTATTTGTTAGCAAATATTTATTGAGCCAGGCACTGCATAAAGTACAAGAAATAGAACATTGACTTAAGACAGACACAGTCCTTGCTTTCGTGGTGCTTGTAGCTATTAGTCCCACTGTAGTGATGATTTAACTTCACCTGTGTAATACATAAATAGAACTCATCAGTCAGCAGTATTTGCATATGCTATTTGTTATGGATTGTAGCGATACTAAGGAAATGTGAACTAGGACACTCCATGGGTTTATATTTTCAGGTAGAAATACAAAACTAATAGACCACTCGTTATATTATATAATAATATAGAGAAATTTTCTGTGTTTTGCAATAAAGTTGTGCTATGGGAGTTCAGAAAATTTTAAGAAAACAGTAGGGGAAGAATTCATGGGAGAGATAGAATTGAACTACACATTTTGAGTTGGTAAATTCAAGATAATTTGTTTTTCTTAGAGACAGAGTCTCACTCTGTTGCCCAGGCTGGAGTGCAGTGGTGCAGTCTTGGCTTACTGCAACCTCCTCCTCCTGGGTTCAAGAGAATATCCTGATTCTCCTGCCTCAGCCTCCCGAGTAGCTGGATTAGGTGCCTGCCATGCCTGCCACCATGCCTGGCTAATTTTTATATTTTTAGTAGAGATGGGGTTTCACCATGTTGGCCAGGCTGGTCTCGAATTCCTGAGCTCAAGGGATCCGCCTGCTTTGGCCTCTCAAAGTGCTGGGATTACAGGCATGAGCCACCGCACCTGGTCAAGATAATTTTTTCTTAAAAAACAAACAAACGAAAAGCCTAGAATCTGCAGTGAGCTTGGTGTATTTGGGAATAAGTGATGGAAACTTTCTAATTGTAATGGAGAATAACCAAAAATGGGGTTGGATAGGGAGGAGGAAATCAGATTATGAAAAACCTCAAATGTCACAAGATTTTTAAAAGTTTTTATAATACCCCTGCATTTTTTTTTTTTTTCTAGAAAGGATATGAACTACTGAAGAATGTTCAGTGACTTTGAGCCTGTAAACTTTGACCATATGACTCCATGACAATAGATGCTTTTTGATCTTACCACGTCTGTTGCAGTTTTAATCCACTAGATGTCACCATAAAACTAGGCAATGAGACAGTTCGGGCACGAACTCCCTTAGTTTATCTAGAACTGGTTGGGTAAATGGTACACATAATTCACTTTCTGAATGTTTAGTACACTGCTCAGTTTTCTTGTGTTGGTGTTATAGAAACATGGGATCTTGGAGTTGGAAGAGTTTTAAAAATTGATCTGACATATTGAAATATTTATGCATGAAACTGTTTGATGTCCGGAATATACTTAAATGATAAAAGAATGAGGTAAAGAAGGGAGTTACGGATGAAACAAGATTGGCTAGGATTTGATAATGCTAAAGTGAAGTATCCATATCTCTCCATGGTGGTTCATTGTAGTGTTCTGATTACTTCTGTGTGTGTTTGAAGTTTTCCATAGGTTTGAATTTATTTACACTTTTATTAAATGTTAGAAAAGGATATTATCTGGTCCTTTCTCTCTCCAAGGAATTCTATTCTTCTTTTTTTTTTTTTTTTTTACTTTAAGTTTTAGGGTACATGTGTACAACATACATGTTTGTTACATATGTATACATGTGCCATGTTGGTGTGCTGGACCCATTAACTTGTCATTTACCTTAGGTATTTCTCCTAATGCTATCCCTCCCCTGCCGCTGCAGCCCACGACAGGCCCCAATGTGTGATGTTCCCCGCCCTGTGTCCAAGTGTTCTCATTGTTCAATTCCCAACTATGAGTGAGAATATGTGGTGTTTGGTTTTCTGTCCTTGAGATGATTCACTCAGAATATGGTTTCTAGCTTCATCCATGTCCCTACAAAGGACATGAACTTGTCCTTTTTTATGGCTACATAGTATTTCTTGGTGTATATGTGTCACATTTTCTTAATCCAGTCTATCATTGACAAACATTTGGGTTGGTTCCAAGTCTTTGCTATTGTGAATAGTGCCGCAATAAACATACGCATGCATGTGTCTTTATAGTAGCATGATTTATAATCCTTTTGGTATATATCCAGTAATGGGATCGCTGGGTCAAATGGTATTTCTAGTTCTAGATCCTTGAGGAATTGCCACACTGTCTTCCACAATGGTTGAACTAGTTTACAGTCCCACCAACAGTGTAAAAGTGTTCCTATTTCTCCACATCCTCTCCAGTACCTGTTGTTTCCTGACTTTTTAATGATTGCCATTCTAACTGGTGTGCGATGGTATCTCATTGTGGTTTTGATTTACATTTCTCTGATGGCGAGTGATGATGAGCATTTTTTCATGTGTCGGCTGCATAAATGTCTTCTTTTGAGAAGTGTCTGTTCATATCCTTTGCCCACTTTTTGATGGGGTTGTTTGATTTTTTTTTCTTGTGAAGTTGTTTAAGTTATTTGTAGATTCTGGATGTTAGCCCTTTGTCAGATGGGTAGATTGCAAAAATTTTCTCCCATTCTGTAGGCTGCCTGCTCACTCTGATGGTAGTTTCTTTTGCTGTGCAGAAGCTCTTTAGTTTAATTAGGTCCCATTTGTCAATTTTGGCTTTTGTTGCCATTGCTTTTGGTGTGTCAGTCATGAAGTCCTTGCCCATGCTTAAGTCCTGAATGGTATTGCCTAGGTTTTCTTCCAGGGTTTTTATGGTTTTAGGTCTAACATTTAAGTCTTTAGTCCATCTTGAATTAAATTTTGTATAAGGTGTAAAGAAGGGATCCAGTTTCAGCTTTCTACATATGGCTAGCCCATTTTCCCAGCAGCATTTATTAAGTAGGGAATCCTTTCCCCATTTCTTGTTTTTGTCAGATTTGTCAAAGATCAGATGGTTATAGATGTATGGTATTATTTCTGAGGCCTCTGTTCTGTTCCATTGATCTGTATATCTGTTTTGGTACCAGTACCATGCTGTTTTTGTTACTGTAACCTTGTAGTATAGTTTGAAGTCATGTAGCGTGATGTCTCCAGCTTTGTTCTTTTGGCTTAGGATTGTCTTGGCAATGCGGGCTCTTTTTTGGTTCCACATTAACTTTAAAGTAGTTTTTTCCAATTCTGTGAAGAAGGTCATTGGTAGCTTGATGGGGGTGGCATTGAATCTATAAATTACCTTGGGCAGTATGGCCATTTTCACGATATTGATTCTTCCTATCCATGAGCATGGAATGTTCTTCTATTTGTTTGTGTCCTCTTTTATTTTGTTGAGCAGTGGTTTGTAGTTCTCCTTGAAGAGGTCCTTCACATCCCTTGTAAGTTGGATTCTTAGGTATTTTATTCTCTTTGAAGCAATTGTGAATGGGAGTTCACTCATGATTTGGCTGTGTGTTTGTCTGTTATTGGTGTAGAGGAATGCTTGTGATTTTTGCACATTGATTTTGTATCCTGAGACTTTGCTGAAGTTGCTTATCAGCTTAAGGAGATTTTGGGCTGAGACGATAGGGTTTTCTAAATATACAGTCATGTCATCTGCAAACAGGGACAATTTGACTTCCTCTTTTCCTAATTGAATACTCTTTATTTCTTTCTCTTGCCTGATTGCCCTGGCCAGAACTTCCAACACTATGTTAAATAGGAGCGGTGAGAGAGGGCATTCCTGTCTTGTGCCAGTTTTCAAAGGGAATGCTTCCAGTTTTTGCCCATTTAGTATGATATTGGCTGTGGGTTTGTCATAAATAGCTCTTATTATTTTGAGATACATTCCATCAATACCTAGTTTATTGAGATTTTTTAGCAGGAAGGTCTGTTGAATTTTGTTGAAGGCCTTTTCTGCATCTATTGAGATAATCATGTGGTTTTTATTGTTCTGTTTATGTGATTGATTACTTTCATTGATTTGCGTATGTTGAACCAGCCAGCCTTGCATCCCAGGGAAGAAGCCACCTTGATCTTGGTGGATAAGCTTTTTGATGTGCTGCTGGTTTCTCTTTGGCAGTATTTTATTGAGGATTCTCACATCAATGTTCATCAGGGATATTGGTCTAAAATTACCTTTTTTTGTTGTGTTTCTGCCAG